TCTGGGTTGAAGCTGCAGGAGCCTAATGCCGAGTATGGTGTTAACTTGGATGACACGACTGTGAATAGAAGGGAGGTCTAACTCTTTCCTCATGACGAGAACTTTAGCGGTCATTGGGCATCCAAGTATAATTCTCATGGCCTTATTCTGTAAAACTTCAAGGGGTTTGAGGGCACTCGGTGGCAGCATACTAAGAACTGGGCTTGCATAGTCTATCATGGACCTAACAAGGGAGATATACATCAACCTTAGGACTCTCAGGGAGGCACCTACATATCTGTTACTAATGTATTGCAATGGTCTTAAACGCTCAAGGCAACGTTCCTTGATGTTTTGAACAATATTCTTAGCAAAGCGTGAGTTATGGGACATGAGGTGGGGAGCAGCCACCATAACGCCAAGATATTTGTAGGAGTCAGTTCTTGAAATAGTTTGTCCACCTAACCTTGGAATGTAAGGTAATCTACGAGATTTGGAAATATGCTTAGTTTTGATTGGGTTGATTATGAGACCAAGGGAGGCACACTTTTTGCTGAACCTCTGTAGAACATAATCCCCCCTATCAAACACCTGAATAAGAATGTCATCAGCATAGGATGTGATGCTGCACAGGTTTCCTAACTCATCATTGAGCTTGCAAAGAGAGTGCATAAGTATATTAAACAGTGTTGGGGACAACACTCCCCCTTGTGGAGTGCCTAATTCCAATTCGCCATAAGCACTATAGATGCCTTGATACCACACTTTTGCTCTTCTCAAAGATAGATAATCCTTTATCCATAGCAGAAGCTTGCCCTTAACTCCCAAAAGAGTTAGTTCATGGAGGATTGCAGTAGGGGAGGCTCTGTCGAATGCTCCCTTAAAGTCTATGAAGTAAGAAGACTGTGCATTACGTCCATTTAGGTACTGTGCTAGACACATTTGTGTTCCTCTCCCTTTTTGAAAGCCAAAGACAGATGGATGGATCATGTCTTTGATCTGATGGAGTAAACGAGTGAGGAGAATTCTTTCACAGGTTTTTGACAGGCAGGACGTCAGAGAAATTGGTCTATATTCATCAGGCCGTCCTGGTTTTGGAATAGGAATGATGGTTGCCTGTTTCCAAGAGGTAGGCAAGATGCCTGTCATGTAGGTTAAGTTGAAGAGATCAAGAAGAGGATTTCTTCCCTTTACCTGTACTTTTGCAAGAAGTCGGATGATGTCATAAGTGATTCCATCATCCCCAGGTGCGGTGGATTTGCTAGTCTTAATGGCTGCAAGTAGTTCCTCCCTTGAAAATGGTGCATCAGCCTCATCTAAAAGGTTGCACTGGTAGTCAATTTCGTTTTTATGGCTTAATTTAAGGGAACACCTACGTATGGATAATGGAAGGCTATCAAGAGAAGACTCCTCACACCATTTATTGAGGAGAGATGAGGCTACCCTTTCTGGATGTGGGTGGGGTGTTGTACTGCATGCATTGCCTTTGATCTTGTTGATTTCCTTCCATACATTACTCATGGTTGTCATGGAGTCAATTGATTCTGCCCAGGCATAAAATTTTTCTTCCCGCTTTCGTGTTATTATCTCATTGATCTCTTTACTAAAAAACACAAGATCTTTAGCTAAGTACGGGTTTTTCCCCAAGTGTCGTAGCTGCCTTACTGTAGATCGTATGAGTCTCCTAAGAAGTTTTATCTCAGGGTCTTTGTTCAGTTGTTGTGCATGTCTACCTCTGGAGGATAAAGATCTGTGATTGGCAGGGCTTTTGGGTTGTATTTGAGTAATGATATTGCCAACTTGCTTACAGAGGGTTTCATTAAAGTGATCCAGGCTGGTAGGAGTAAAGTCTTCATACCAGCAGGCAATTCTTTCAATGAATTCATTGTGAAATTTAGTAGCAAGGTGGTATCGAAGGCGTGGCTGGGGTGGGGTTCTTTTGCAAAAGGGGAGGGTTATACTTAATGCCCAGTGATCACTAACTAAGAATGGGATGACTTCCGCAGTGCTTGGTAGTGTGTGCTGATTGTATAGAGCTATATAGTCCAATTTCCCTCCCAAATAATGAGTTTTTTCGAGGGGGCATAATAAGTGTATGGGATCACTAGTATTTTGGAGATAGTCATAATAAACCTTACCGTTTTTGCCAATGGTACTTCCCTCGGAGCCTAGGAGAGGATGGCGAGCATTAAAATCCCCACACAATAAGACAGTATCAGTATGTATCATGCAGTCAGGAGGTTTAGGTACCACCTCACTATCATGTGGATTATATACATTAATGATGGTGATAGATTTATCGTCTAGAAATATTCTAATACTAAGATATTCAACACAGGAGTTGTCACGATTGTCATCAATCACTTTCGATGGAATTGAGTTCTTTATGTAAATGCCAAGCCCTCTCGTAGAGGGGTTAGTAATATTTGGTCTGTCATAGTATGTGTATCCCGCGATTTTTGCATAACGAGCACTAGTTCTGACTTCCTGAAGGCAACACACATCGACATTTTCGGAGTGA